TTAGGGTCGATTTGTAATTCTAAACTATTAATGTTGTCTAATATTTTTCGTAATACGTCCGCAAAGAGTCCACCGTTTCGATTTCACATAAAAACGTTTCCCGCACTGAATCTACGTTAATATTTTTTATGTGATCACTTATATATTGTATACATGAAAAGAGTACGTCTCTATTGGCGTAAAAAGTTTTAAGTTTAATTTCATTTCCACTAACTGCCATTTTAAATTACTATAATTAATATTAGATTAATCACAAACAATCTTGCAACGCTTTAGGGTGGAGAGAATGTAATACAACTATATCTCACAACACTATTGTCTTATCGATCCGTATTACGTCGTTAAATTGAACACTTTTGCAACCAAACGAGATAACGCGCGTCGACAGATAAGAATTTAAAACTCGCACTATTTTTTTACAAATGGTGGGTAGGCTAAATAAGGTTAAGCGGAACAAACTATTTGCATAAATAAGTCGATTTACTTATGCGAATAACTAACAAATTTTAAATTTAAACTAAACAAAACTACATAATCTATCCAATATTAAATTAGAGTGCATTGTCTAAGGAATTAATCCAGCAGTTCGACTCGATGAGGCTATAAAGCACCAGTTCCAAATCCGCTCGAATGACCAGAAAAATGGTTGGGCGGCGGGCCTTAGGGTTCCCGAGTTCGATTCCCCGATCGAGCCTTGACCCTATTACGCGAGATGTTATACTAGATGGACGGTATACGCGGAAGCTTCTTATGCCTCAACAAGATGGCGGACCCTTGACAATGCACACGCTCTTCCGAAATCTATTGTTTGCCAAGGTTATGAAGGAATCCTGCTTGAGCACATTAGGAGAAGTGAAATGGGGCGGGTTAGCTAACAAACAAATACCTCTAGCAGGCATTGAATTATAGGAAAACACACTTACCGGGGTGTGACTTCGATGCGGCTTAGGCGCTTCCGTTGCTGTGGTGCGACTTCTGGTGGGTCTCCTGGGGCGCCCCAGGGATGCGGTCCTGGCCGGTGGTGCGATGGAAGAGAGCGGTGCGCGACGATATCTCATACTATGTGAGGCGGTTACTTCTGGAGCTCGACTGCTCCAGGTGCGGTTTAGACTAGCGGCGCGAAGGCAAGAGCCCTCTAGGACACGACTGTCGCAGGCGGTGTGGTTCCAACTAGCAGCGCAAAGGCAAGAGAGCGCTCGAGGGCAGCCCGCGAGCTTATATTGCTTCGGCCCTCCTATCAATGCATCTCGTTCGGGCACGCTTCTCATTGGTTGCAAGAATCACGCAACATTCTAGAATCTCTTCTTTCCCCTCTCCCCTCACCCCGGTGTGTACGGAGGGACGATAGATCAAGGAAAGGATAAACGCTTGGCAAGCATACCCTCGAATAAACTAAGCAAAAGCGGTAAGTTTGTAAGGATCGGTCTCTTGCAATCGATCCTCTCTGCCTACCTCTCAAAAGAAAATGTAAAGATATAGTATATAGTAATATTGCACAGATGATTTTCTTAAAAAATGAGTATATATATAGTTATGTTATTGCAAACTAAAAAATAGCAAGTATATGTATTAAGGTAGTTAAAAATATTTAATTTACAACCACAAAATACACGGATCACAGGTAATCAACTATAAATTGTACTGAGACTAATTTAATAGTTGATAATAATAATTAATTCGTTTCCATGAATTAATTATCCGAATAGTCTAGGATGAGCTAGTAGCGGGATACAACAAGTGAACCATGCCACGCCAGAGCCATGACTGCTTTAACGGCTTTTTTTCTTTTTTTTGCGCCCAAATCAATAAGGGCTCCGGAAAGCGGGGGAGGGAGGCGGTGAATGCTTGTAGTATACCACGCAGCCAGCTGCGTGGTTATGTGGAGACTTTTACCAACTAAACACCGCCTTTAGGGACTAGCTTAACGATCTAGCTAGAGATCTTTAAGTCGTATCGAACGCGACCCCCTTGGGTGAAAGGGGGGCGCTAGCGTCGAGTAGCCGCTGGGAAGAATTGCTGCCTAATTAACGCAGCTTAAAAATGGGATAACTAATTATATTGAATTTAGAAGGTGTTGGTGCTCGGTAAGCGCGAGCAGACAGTTCTGAGGGGACTGAGAAGTGCGCAGTTTGCGTGCTAAAATTGCGATCTCTCTTACGTCGATATTGCGGTTAGCAGTGTATACTGTATCTACATTATCTGCGTAGGAGGGTTCCGCCTGATGTCGGGGCTCTAGTGGGCGAAGGTGAAGAGGCCTGTAGGGTCCCTGAGGGGGCTGATAAAGGTCCTGAGGTGACTGAGAGTTGCCCTGAAGGGGCATTTTGAATGGGAGAGCCAGGAATATACGGTCATTGACCGGTGGCGGAGCTTTTTTGGCAGCTTTGTTGCCGAGATTGGGGCGAGGCGTGCGAGGGCAGCCTCTGAAGTTGGCTGTATGGCCAGTCTGTCCGCAAAGGACGCAAGTGGGTGTGTACTCGGTATCACGGGGCCGAGGACACTCTTTCGAGCTGTGCGGGTCTAGGTACTTAATGCACCTGGGACGGCCTGAGCAGTTGGCCGCCGCATGCCCATAGAGTTGGCAGCGGTGGCACTGCGCCGGAAAACCGCGCCTATAGGGGGCTTCGACTTTGATTCTCGACAGGCCGCACACAGTGTGTACTTGTCGGAATATGTCTTTAGCCTCCGGCACGTTGGACAAAATGAGGACGGCAAGCGAGTACCTCTTGCCCCTACTGATGTGCTTCTTGTGCACAGCCTCAACTGGGAATCCCTGGGACTTAAGGTCCTCCAAGATTTCCTCGTTAACGAGTTCAAAAGTAACTCCGCGGAGGACAGCCCTGACTTTACGTTCTTCAGGGAGAGAGTAGGTGTGATAGGGCACACCATCGGAAGGTGTGAAGAATTTGGTGATGTTCCTAAAGTCTTCCATAGACTGCGTAACGATTTTGATTGACTCATCGAGGTTGGTGGCTTGGTCATATTTAAAGTCTGCGTCGTAGCAGGCTTTAGAAAGTCTGGTTAATTGCGCCCTGTACCTGAGGAAGACAGGGGCGGGACCTGTTTCTATGTAGCAGCAACAGGAGCTGCGGGGGCGTGGGTAATGACAGGGGCTGCGGGTGCGCGGGCGGCGGCGGCAGTGGTGGAGGTTAGCGGGATGGGAGGTGTGCGAGAGGTCGCAGCGCGTTTCGAGTCGCGCTTGGATTTCACTTCCGTGAAGGGGGTCGTATCAATAACCGATTGATCGGAGTCTGTTAAGTAAGAGGAGCAGCTACTGGATGAGGTGATTGGCATTTGAGCGGACCTCTTACGGGTGGATGAAGTTTCGGACGCAGTGTCCGAGTGCTCCATGACTTCGGAGTCACGGGTCGCTGAGAAGGCCGCGACAGAAGGTGGAGGTTTACATGCCTTAGGGACAGTGGAGTCTAGAGCGGCGCCAATAGTTTTGGCGAGAAGGGCTTCGTCAAGGGTTTGGCCATGGGCTTGAAAAAACTGTTGGGCTACGGCCACTAGTTGGGTCAAAAGTGTCTGTAGTAGACATGTTGAACAGGGAGGGTGTTGACGACGCTTATTTCAAGAAACTGGGTTTCAGAGCAAGCTCTTTGTTCTTCCCAGAATAAAGGGCTTGCTCTGAAAAGAACAAGTGACTCCTATTCCAAGAAACAGTAACACAATATTAAAAAAATAGTAGCAAGAAACATAACCAATAAAAATAACAAGAAACTATAACAATAAAATAACAATGCAAAGTGAAAAATAACGGTGCTAAGAAAGGTGACTCACCAACGGCGACAGCCCGACCGGTGCGAACAGGAGAGCGGAGGCACGCGAGCAAGAGGGGCGCTGCCGTACAGGGACGGGAGCGCTGACTGCTTGACACGACGGCATGGGAGCGGCGCGGCAAGCAGAATGCTTTAACGGCGGCCGCTCCGTCCGTTTTACTAATGAAATGAAATGAAAATGTTTTATTTGCCTCAAAACAGTTACATGTATTATAAATGAGATATCCCCAGTAAGTAATTAATAATAATTGTGTTGGGGCTATCTCGCTCTTCCCTTACTTATTAACAATATTGAGATAAAATTTGTTCAGTTTCCTCGTATGTTAACATTTTTAACCATTCAGTTATTACCTTTTTGCCTACGTGTGATACCTCACGGTGGAAATTTAATTTTACGTTTATTTTATTACATATATAGACTGATTGAATTGCATACTGACGCCGTGCAAAAGCGGTTCGGACCCTTGGGGAGTAAGCCACTATATCCTTTCGTCTTCTCTCCTGACTGTCATGGTTAAATGGAATTTTGGTTAAATGGATTTTTGTAAGTATAGGGTCGTGACTAAGTAATATAGTTTTCTAACTGAGAGTAAGCCAATGATTCTATAAAGATCGACGGTGGGGTATCTGTATGGTTTATAGTACATTACTTTTATAAATGACCTCTTTCTAATTCAAGGAATTTAGTTTTAGTGGCTCCTGGTAGCCACTAAAACTAAATTGTGAGTGGTGGTTAGGGTCCCCAGACTGGTAAACAATATGTAAGAACTGATTGCGTGAGCGCAATATAGATGCTAGTGTTTTCTGAGGCATCACGTATCGTAGATTTTTAAAAACACATATAAATTTGCGCACTCGTGACGTGAGTAGTCCACTTACAAACCACTCTAAGTTAAAAAATAGTATTTTTTTTGCAATGGCGGCCATTGTATTTGAAATTTAAAAACTGTTACTCTACATTTATCATACTATTTCAAAACTCGCTACATTACGTATAATTTGAGGCTAAATATGGTATACTCTTGCAAAAGTCGCCATGATATTTGACAGTTCACTTTCAAAACTGTCTAAGTTACTATTCACTTGCAAATGGCGCCAAGACGCCAACGTACTCGTGCAGATGCCGCCATCTTGTCTCCCAGTACGCTTGATACTGTTAATGTGCACGGACGTGTCTACTATCTACGAAATAAAAGTTCTTTATCAATTTTGTGTTCTAAAATGGAATTTCAAGTAAAAGAAGTTATTCTAGCACCTAATAGAAGAGGACGTAAGAAACTACTTAGAAGAGAGAAATTGAAAAATCAAAACGGTAAGTTACAGTTTTATATTTCGGTTATCTTTTAATAAATAAATAAATTTATCTTAGAAAATTTATTTATTTATTTTATTCAAGGTGTACTTAGATATAATTTCTGAAAATAACTAACACTAGGGTAAGTCTCTATGTATTACTAACACGCTATGGATGTATAGTCCGAAATAAATGTATTTGAATTTGAATAGTTTGAAAACCATTATTGGCGAACTCTTAAATTTGTCTGATTTTATTGAACAAGTAGTTTATTTTGTACTGTTTTGTTGCAGATATGTGGCTAAAGGACCTCCAAAAAATACCACAATGCGTACATAGAAATTTAAAACAGGGTTATAAATATAACGAGTTGACGACTCAAGACTATAGTAAGTTTTACAGAATTTTTTATGCATCTTCAAACAAAATTACTCAAGATACATTTTTGTTAAAGTATTGCACAGCTCAAACTCCAAAAAAAGAAGGCAAAAAAACTCAAACAATATGTTATTTTATTCCAAAGTACGCATCAACTGTTGGCGGTAAATGCTCCATCAAATTAAAAAAAGTATGCCAAAAAGCAATGACCACACTTTTAGGAATATCTAAAGACATAATACAAAGAATTTGCAAAAGACATTTAACTACTATGGAACTGCCGAAAGAAAGAAGAGGTGGTGATAGAAGATCTTCACAGTATTCAGGTCGTACAGAATCTGTTAAGTGATTTATAAAGACTCTTAAATCCATAGAATCACACTATACGAGAGGAAGGTCTACTGTACAATACCTGAGCAGTGATCTTAATATAAAAAAAATTACACAAACTTTATAACAATGAAGCACAAAATGTGCCGGTAAAATACGATTTTTTTGGAGAATATTTACAAATTTTTTTAATTTAAGTTTTAAGACACCGGCTACTGACGCTTGCTCTAAGTGCATTCAATTAAAAGAGAATATCAAAACGGAAAATGATCTAGCTAAAAAACAGATGTTGATAGCGCAGCTTAGGATTCACACGTTAAAGGCCAAAACTTTTTATACTAGTCTCAAGACGCAAAATGACAATGAAATTATCTTATCCTTTGATTGTCAAAAGAATCAGGTTCTACCAAAAGTGCCGGATCAAAGTGCCTACTTTAGCCGACAACTGTATGCATACAATCTAACAATCAGTCAAGGGCCATCTTGTAGCCCTCAAAATGATTCAAATACGTTTATATACACGATCCAATCAGATTGCATCAGCATTATTTCACAGGCTGTTAAATACCACTTTTGATAGCAGTATTGAACATATAAAATTATTTTGTGATGGTTGTGGGGGCCAAAATAAAAATTCCATAGTTTTGCGAATGTTGGCATATTGGTTTAAAACAAAAGCTCCAAATCAAATTAAAAAAATAACTATTATATTTCCGGTAGTTGGGCATTCTTTTTTGCTACCCGACCGTATATTTAGAAATATCGAAAGAGAGATACGCCCTTTAGAGGTGATTGCGGAACCCGAGGTTTATTTTCATATTTTCGAAAGATATGGTAAAGTTATTAGACTTGGAAGTGACTTCCAGTTTTATGACTGGAAAACAAGCGTTATAAATGTACTGAAATTACTAGGATCTTGGCATTTCAAATTTAATGCTTCTAACAGATTTTTCCTGAGATTATGTATCTGAAGTGGTCAACTATGGGAATGTTTATAAAAGAGGAAAGTCTTATGAAAATATTAAACCTACGTTGATGAATATTGGAGTTCCTGTAAAAACAGAAAAATTAAATGACGTGAGAAAACTATTGATTAAACATTTCGGAGAAGACTGGATTACTATTGAAAATCTTCAATATTATAAGTTTTTATAAGAAGAAGATAATGAAAGTAATATAATAGAAACTGACTCTGAAGAAACTCTAATGGAAGATGAAATAGATATAAGACTGTAAAAAACCTAAGTTATTAAAATTATTAATAACTTAGTTTTAGGACATAAGTGAAAAACTGATTCAAAACTGTCTATGTTAATTCCATACAACTGCAAAAATATTTATGTTACGAATACTTTTGCAGAACTTGCTAAAGTATTCATAACATAAAAGATTAATCTTTTACCGAGATTTTATTTTTTATAATAAAATAATTCTAAATAATACCATAATGATTTCTTATATTTACGCGAACACTACACATTGAAATAATACCACTTACAACGCGTAAATTAAAACCACTTAAGCGTAACAATATTTTCTTAACTTACTTTGACAGATATAATGTTTTAATTAATTTTCTTACTTCATTAGTCAATCAATATAACAAGTGGACTACTCACGTAACAATCTCAATATGCGAATGCCAGGTTAAACACTCGTCAACTATAATTCCCAAGTACCTTGTAGACGTTATATGTTTAAGCACTTGGCAATCACAATTTTGGTCGAAGTGGTCCGCACACGTGTGGATTCTAATTTTAAAATTAAGGCCTGGTTTAGATCTTATACCAGGGGAAAAACAAATGTAATTTGTTTTAATAACATTAAGGGTTAGCAGGTTGACTTTAAGCCATCTATCTATAACAACTAATCCTTGCTCGGCATTATTGCACACTTCTTCCCACGTGTCCCCAATGTAAAAGATGGCTGTATCGTGTGCGTAGGAAAAGGTTTTCCCACCACTGCTTCGCAGGTTGCATAGATCATTAATATACACTAGAATCAGTGTTGGGCCGAGAACCGAGCCCTGTAGGACACCATAGATAATGTTTTCCTCCTCACTAAGCAAATTATCTATTTTAACTTGCTGTCTCCTACCGCGCAGGTAGTTGTCAAAGAGGGAGAGAGCCTTACCTCTTATCCCTATAGCTTCAAGTCTCTGCACAAGGATGGGGACGGATACGGTGTCAAAAACCTTTTTCAGGTCTAGAAACACCGTTACGCATTTATAACCATTGTCTACCTTATCAGTGATTTCAGATGTTAACGCAGTGACCGCATCTTGAGTTGATCGTCCCTGTCTAAAACCGTATTGTGAATCAGAAATAATGTTGTATTTATTTAAATAACTTACTAGTCTTTTCTTTATTATTTTCTCTATTATTTTTGAAAGGGATGGTAAGACAGATATCGGCCGATAATTGTTAACATCACTTTTGTCCCCATCTTTGTGCATGGGCGTAATTATAGAACGTTTTAGCGCATCAGGAAATAGCCCGTTTCGAAACACATATTATTCAAATGACTTATACGGGGAACAATAAGTTCTCGAGATAATTTAAGGAAACCCACAGGTATGCAGTCCCACCCCGAAGTACTATTTGAGTCAAGTGACCCAACTAAGCCATCCACTTCTGCCGGATCTGTTTCCAGCAGGACAAACGAGTTAATTTTAGATAATGAACTTAAGTAAGTGACAGATCTAGATGCTTGTCCAGTTAGGGTTATGATTTCATCCGCAAGTTAATTTCCAATAGTTGTAAAGAATTGGTTTACACGATTTAAAGAGTTAAGAGGATGTGGTGTAATCTGAAGTAGGTGTATACTAGACGTTTTGGGTTTTTTATAATGGGTAATATCATTGATTTTGCACCCGAGCAGTTTAGGGTTTTTTTTTTTAAGAATTTAATATCTGCTTTTTATGATATTGTCGTTTGCGTTTTTTAATAAGATTAGAGCAATAAGTGCGAAAACGCCTGTAAGATATAATTAATATAACGTTAAAAGGATCTTTTTTTTGTAGCTGCAATTTATTTCTAAACCTAATACATCTGAGGGCGCCCACTGTTATCCAGGCCTCTAAAGTTCGCTTGGTGTTTGACACTAAGACAACCTTAGTGTTATGGAGGAGAGATGTCCTAATCATGTCTATCATCGCGTCAACTAGAATGTTTGGGTCTCTATGTGCACTTAGAAAAGATACATCTATATCTAAAAGGTGCTTATAGGTATTCTCCCAGTTTGTTATTGTTTTATATTTGACACAAGTCTTGTTTCGGTGTTTGTGGGATATACTTAATAACACCATGGCATGATCCGTAACAGACGTGTTTAGGACAGCCACGAAAGCCGTGTTATTTAATTTGTCTAGCTAAAGGAGCATACTACAATCGAGACAAGTACCTACAAGAGCGCCACTGCAGATGCAATGCGCAGGTGTGCGGTGCATGTGTTATTTACAATAATTACGACTACCCACAGAGGCGCTGTGACATATACTCGTAAATGTTATTGCGAGTGTTATTTTGTTACTTGTTGGTTAAAGATATTATTTGACAATATTGTTATGTGCTATATGTTTTATGCCAACACAAGTAATCTTAAATAAGGGCTCCATGACGTAGGTTCTTTAGGAACGGTAAACAAGGAACTAGTAGTGTCCATTGCTCACTACGCTGTCGATATAATGGCTATTAACGAAACTTGGTTGCGAGAGGGGGAGGAATAGCGCTCGCCTGCCGTGCCAGGATACTAAATACGTCGCATTCCATCACCGAACACTGTGCGATCACAAGGTAGTGGCTCGTCGTTAAATTTCGCAACGCTCTGTTTGATACTGTCGAGACTCTTGCTTGCTGCAGTCAAGCCTTGTTAGGAGAGGTTAATATTAATTTATTATTGATTTAAACTACTTTTACGGATTTCCTCACGTTTATTTTTATATGTTTTTTTATTCCCGATGTTTCGGGAACATTTCAGCAACCATGTTCTTGGGGGCCTGAGTTTACTGACGTCCCGATCTCAGTGTTAACGCGGAGGACCTACAGCTTTTTAATAATTATTTATGGTTCAATCTACAAAGAATTAACTCGTACTTGTCGGTGGGTTTAGTTTTAATTTTATTAATTACAGGGTCCCAAGTAAGTGGCAGTATACAGCCTCTTTCTCTATCAAAATAAGGATGTTTTTTAATTTCAATAGCCTCACGTGTCATCCTTTGTAAGAATCGATGTTTTTTCCCGGGGATTTGTGCTCTATAAAATCTGAGGTAATGGTTGGGGTCATCTAGGATATTATCACAAACTGCAGAATTCCTAGAACGTATGCTTCACGTCAGCTATATGTTCATTTACGCGTTTTCTGATTGATCTTTTTGTTTGCCCTATGCATGGGAGACCACATTCACAATCCAACTTGTACACTCCTACATCTTGTAGAGGAATAATTCACTTATCAGTTAGTAAGAACTGAATAATCTTCTTCGGTGGCTTGTAGAATGTTCTAATAGAAGCTCGCTTCTAGCCAATCTTGTCTGTGACACCTCTGACATATGGCAGCGTAGCAGACACTCGCTTGCCTCTGGTCGGCTCCACACGGTCACTGTGTTGTAGGCGTGGGACCCGAAATTTGTTGTCATACAGAACCGGCTTGACGTGCTGAACAAAAAGTGGTTGCTGACACAAATCCCTCGTGCTCTCTGTAACAAAGATTTTCCCACGGTAGCTAACTATGGTCCACCAGCGCCAATCCATCTTACTCCGAATTTAGTATTCTAAAACTTTCTTACACAACGAGAGAAATGCGGTGGTACACTATCATGTTGAAACCACATGCGACGAATTCTATCTAGATTTATTTCGTCAAATTGATCGTTTAGTGTCTCATTTTGTGGTCAATAAAATATGAACTAATAATTTTGTTACCTATAATTTTCGCTCAAAAATTGATTTTCCATCGGCGTTGAAAGTGGCTTGGTTTATAAAAATGTGGTGCGTGCGTGCGTGCGTGCGTGCGTGTCGT